AGTTAAGTCAAATCAAAGTCAGAGTCAAAGTCACATTGCGACTGACGGTCAGTCAGTCAGTAAGTCTTGGTGTCGAGCCGCATCTGGGGGGGGTCGACTCATGACCAGATATTTATTACTGTTTGACGGTTATGGTCTTGTTTTTGCGAGGCGCCCACTCTGACGAGAGGACGGGATCGTCATTTGTATGCTACTGGCCCTTGCCAGCGCAGTCTTTCTCGGGTCCGAGTCCCTTGGGACTCGCGACCATATTTTACTGTCTCAGATTTGAATCCAGTTACCAGTCTAAAACCTGTGTCTAGTCCCTAGCACCTGACAGTGTTTTAAGGGAATATCTGAAGAGGTGACAAAACCTGAGACATTTTGACGAAGGTGGAAGTATAATATTATTAAATGGAACTGAGAGAAACATAATGCAGGGTGGCTCCATATGGCAGAGGCGATTAATTCCTTGGTAGCTGAGCTATTATCAAATATTTTAGGACTTTGTTACATACAGTGAGTTATACAGGGTTATTCATAAGTCCGTGAAACATTTTAAAAATTCACCACAAATAAACTATGCATCGGATCATGGTAATTTTTACGCCGATAGAGAATGAATCTCACAAAGTTTGGTGAGTTTGTCTCTGTTTCAGTGCAATGAAATTTGGTACCCGTTGCGTAGTTTATTTATTGTAAATTTTCAAAATGTTTCAAGGACTTATGAACATTCCTGTATAATTGTCCTCATATATCCTCAAATGTCATTGGATTTGGCCATTGATCTGATCCTTCCAGCCGCACTGTGGCCCTGGGGTCGACTCTGCCTCTAACAGAAATGAGTATCAGAAATCTTCTTGGGGGTTAAGGGCGGCTGGCGCTTAAGCCTGACAGCCTCACCGCCATCTGCGAATCGACTGTCTGGAAAATGGAGGAACCTCGAAGTCTCACAACCGTATGGGCCTCCAAGGCCCGTTACAAGGGTAGCTTTACCTTTATCTGCAATGAAAATGGCCGACACGTGACAGAGATGTGTACCTCACTTGAACGCCAGTTTTAATTAAATCATTCGTCGCATTCATACTAGCGTAACGCGTATTTATTGACCCAACTGTGTGCCTGTCACAGATAGCACTATGAACCACTAGCTTCCTATTATTTATGCACCACGCCATACACCCATTTATCTCCCCTCCCCACGGCTGATAACGGAATTCAGCGCAACTCAGGAACTTGGCCTTGTGTTCCTCCTTACTGTCATTCTTTATTCCGATCTGATTACCCAAACATTTGCTCTGACGTCACAATTAGAGCATTAGCAATCGAGTAGATCGGGAGGCTTGTGTGCTTCCCCGTCGCACAAACTTCAACATTTTTTATAAGTCTTATTATATTTGCTGAAAGGGGAAGCCGGCGAGAGGGGTGAAAAAAAAATCAAAATTTAAGGATAGGAAGAATTATATTGTGGCATATTTGCTCAAATGAAGAAATGTGGAGCCAGAGAAAAAGCCACTGTTATCCAACGGTTCTGAAAAAAAGAAACATTTTGTATCCACGCAGCGGTCGCGAGTCAGTTGTAAGGAAGGCAGACAGTTGGACGGGAGCACCAGATTAATAGGCATTGTTCGAAGCCGTTACCAGGAAACGCCTAGTGAAGACACCGAAGGCTGGAAAAAGCTTAGCTTGTGCGCTTGTTATTTGTTAAGTGTGTGTGGAAATTGGCGATGGCATTATACCAAATAATTAATATACTACATAATTTACTGCAATTACGAGTTCTGTGTTAAAGTGATCAGTAAATCCAATATGCAGTTCCAACCTCCGTCGAGAGTCACCACTTTACGTGACAATAACAAATATTAATGATGAGAGTTAAAAGTATTTATAGTTCTCCTATCCTCACCGCTGTATGGTGGTAAATAAAAATGAGATCTAACATTTTATGACGGTGGTATATTAATAAAAGTATTGAGTTTTGGACTCCATTCAGGAGGTAGCGACAAACCCTAATGACTGGGCCCAACTAAGTGGCCCTTTCCCTGAAGATGTAGCTAGAATCCAGTCTCCTAAGCGTTGTATTTTAAATAAGAAAATACGGGACGATGGATAATGCCCAGAAACACAATAATCCATTTGTATGCAAATTTTTGCCCCCCCCCGGAAGTAACACTGCTACCTAGAAAAACAATTCTGGTGACGTGCGTGGAAAGCGTCCGTTACTCATCCTGTCCCCCCCCCCCTCCAAATAAATTGTGTCAAACTTAGTAAAAATCATATTCACCATCACAGACGTCCATATGTTTGGGCCAACTTCCGTTCACCGAAAATGGTAAAGAAAATGCTACAGGATGTGACGCCACATAACGATAGCTTAGTGAACTAATCGCCAGGCACGCACCGAAACAGCAGTTAACGCAAATCACTTTTGAATTGCAAAACGTTCTGCGATCGCCTAGTGACATGACCGGAGAAGGATTCGCACGGAAGTACAGTAAAATCTCCGGGCACATGTAGGCCTACAGTATTTATGTTCCGCACTTGGTGAACAGTGTAAGGTGAGGAAGCAACTGTTGCCTTGAACCACAAGGTAGACCTGTGTACACTCTGTAGAACCTACAAGAGTATCAATAGTACATATCACAGAATCACGTCAGTACACACCACAGCTTCTTTGCTCAAAAAACAAAAGAGATCTTGTCTGTGCCCTAAGAAATGTCCGGGTGCCAGCCAAGCAGCAGCAACTTAACTTGCAGGACACGAGATACCACGTTTACTACTACAAGTATGAATTAAAAACGACATAAGATGCGTTCATAACTGTTTCAGAATGGCTTACGTAACCGATTATTTGTTTGGTACTAGACATACTCCGGGGTCACGCGGTAGCATATTTGGTTTAGGAACTATGTTTCAAGTCGGAAGGTCGCCGGTTCGATTCCCGAAGATGTCAATAGATTTTTCAGTTGACCTAATTCTTTCAGCCTCACTATGGCCTTGGGGTCGACCCGGTCTCTAACAGAAACGAATACCACTAATCTTCCTGAGTTAAAGAGCGGCCGGAGCTTAAGGCTGACAACCTTACCTACATCTTTGAGCCGATTGTCCAGAGAAAATGTGGGAGCCTCAACGCCTCAGAACCCAATGGGCCTTTTCGGCCTGTTGCATTGATAGCTTTATCTAATCTTGCTCGTAAAGTTATGAATTTTTAATGTAGTCTGTTGAACACTCTTACGAGAGGCGCTGTTGCATGAAGCGACTGTAACGCGGTGCTGTATGATATAATGAAACAACTGAACCAAATGAACTTCAAAGGCCGTGCTATAGCTCGGACGGTTAGTCGCTGGCTTCCAACCGCGACGACCCGGTTTAGAGCCCAGGTCAGGTCATGTGGGATTTGTGGTGGACAAAGTGGCATTGGGGCAGGTTTTCTCCGAGTACTTCGGTTGCTCCACACTCATCATCATCTATGACCCGGAGCTGGTACAGTAGGCTAAATAGCGGCTGTCGTGCCAAGTGAATTCAGTCGAACCCCACCCCAAGGAACCAACTAGGAGACTGAAATTGAAAACTAAACCGTCACCGTGAATTTACGCTACATTTACTTATGATCAGAGTGAGACTTTTATGTAAAATTGTCTCAAGAAGAGAAGAAGAAGACTAAATCATTATTGGACCTTGGTGGGATTCAAACCAGAAAGTTATGGGCGTAATATTCAGTTCACATGATAACTGAGCTTAAACAGAAGGGTTATTTAAGATTTGAGGTTTTCACGGCGGTGACTATGAAGAATGCTGTTTTCTGGGATGTGACGCCATGTAGATCTGGTGTAAACCGACGTTTCGGAGGAACGTATCACCTACATCTTCAGGGTATAAAAATCCGCAACCGAGGAACCAGCGTGTGTAGGTGGCTGCAACCGCCTGAATATGGAAGCGATACGCTCCTCCGAAACGTTGGTTTACACTAGATCTACACGGCGCCACATAACAGAAGACATATTATTAGTGAGTTTCAGATTTTATTTTCAATCAAACATATAGAAACTGAAATCTATACGCAGAGCTGCAAATGAAACGATAACGAAATAAGGCATTGTTTCTCAAACTGTGGATCTGACTTCCGGGAGTTGCGACCCACTCGAAAGGGTGTCGCCTAGTAGTCAGATATTATTTAATATATATAGTTGCATTTACATAGTTGTAGCAAGTCACTAAGTAATATTTAATAATGTGGGGTGCAGACCCGTTGATCAGGAATGACTGTGAACAGCGACGGTTGCTAGGTAACATCTGAAACATGCGTGTACGCAACAATAGATCGACGGTGTTATGCAGCCCATTTCTAAGCAACAGATCGGTAAACACGCTTACAACAATAGGGGCACTCTTGGGAACGGTATTTTCTATTCGGGCTGTCCGAAGTATTTATAGAGAATAGTTCAGTTGAGAATAGTCAATCGAGTTCCGGAGTTCCAAGTGAGCAGTTAGTCGAGAGTTGGGCTCTACAAGGGAGGCTGAGAAGATAGTGCTGTGAGTTCAGATGTGGAATGTTAACCAGCGGGCAATGGCGTGACCAGAGAAGCTGAAGAATCTCCACTGTGTTAAATCCGTTGTCAGGAAAAGGCCAGTGGAGAATGATATAAACTAAGGACATAGTTTTTGTGTGTCAGTAATCTGTAAAGTGTAGTTGCGAGTGGTATGGTCAGTAAATCGAGTATCCAATGCGTACCCCATCTATAGTCACATGCCCCTAAATATGTGACGATACGAATGTTTTCGGAAAAGTAGCTGAAATTTGCGAAATATTTCGTCACTGTAGAGGGGGCATCTTATAGTTTGCTGTGGGCGCAGAGGGGCTGTGTAACTATTTAGTTTCCTGCTGTTGCAGTACAGCCAAATAGGGACCTGCAACAATGCGTAGAACACAGACTTTGAGATCCCCTGTTTAAGAAATAACATACCGAAGCCAGGATATGAAACTTGGAGTGCGATCGCTGGTAACTGAGTTCCATGCTTACCAGTCATGCAGGAGCCGCTGGTGCTAAATGAAGATTTGAGCTGAGGAAACCCTGAAACAAAGAAGAGAACTCCGTAAGTTAACTGGAATCTGGGCTCACAGTGAGGCTGAGGCTCCTGCGTTATACTGGTTGCCAACATTTCGGAGGAACTTGCTGTCTACAGCTTCATGGAAGAAGACGGAAATAACATGTCCCATTTGACATTCATACCCATCCACCAGACTGCACGGTTTCATGAGCCACAAGACCATAACTTAAGCAACAAATAATGAATATTACTTGCACAAGGAAGCAAAGATACTACAGACAATACAGGTGCTGTATGCCTGTACGCAAGTCCGACATATTTCCTCTTGCCGTACAGTCAGGCTATCGCCATACTAGCTACTCAATTCGAAATGCGTGTGTATACTTCATTCTAAGATTTCAAAAATTCCTCTAAACTACACCGATCTCCCCATACGTGTCCACTTTTGTAGCATGTAGGCTCTGTAAAAGCGGCCGCTGCTAGGTAGTGACCATAAACATCCACAGACGAATCGTGTTCTCTACGTTGTTCGAAGGATAGCCACATGATGCAACAATATAAGAACTGTTGAGAGGTGTTTCCTATGCGGTCCCTGCCGAGGCTACATAAGGAGTCGATTGTGCTTTGTGAGTTCGGCAGTTGGAAGGCAGTTAGTCCAGCTCGGGAGCTGAAGTAAGGTAGGCGACAGCCAGTGAAGACGTGAGTCCGTGAGCACGGTATTTGAGGGATTTACGGCGTTGGAAGCCGTTACCAAACGACTTACGAAGGCACAGAAGACTGAGAACGGTTGGTACGTGCTGTAGTGAACTGTAGAGTGTCTTAATTAGCGATAGCGCTACAGTTACTTGTAGTTAAAGCACAATAGACCATTGAAGGTCGCAGTGTTAGGGCCAGTTTTATGGCTCAACCCTCATATTCATACTTGTAGTTACAAGTTATACGTTCTGTAAGAGTTCAGTAAATCCAATTACCAATCCAAACCCCACTATGGTCACTCCATAAAAGCGTGTCGGTATGTTGTGCAGACATTCTGTTCCTTCGAGTTCTGCCATTTGGTGGCGTTTCATAATCTTATAAGTGGCCAAAATACTTTCGAAACCGGAGATATTCCGCAGCCCTGAAAGCTCCTCTGGCCTTACGGAATAAGTCAAGAACTGGTCAGAATGAGATAAATGAATCACACGGTTACCCCATTCTAAAAGCTTCCAGTAAAAACCTAAGTACAGTGCTTTCGAGAAAGGACCATATATTTTACAAAGTGAGGTGGAAAAAGCTATCAAGGAAATGAGGAAGGGAAAGGCTACAGGAGATGATGATGTACCTGGAGATGTGCTCAAGTTACTGGGAGAAGGTGGTTTGAAAACACTGACAAAACTAATGAACACCATATATGAAAGTGGAGAGTGGCCCAAGGACTTTACAGAAGTTACAATGATTGCCTTAAAGAAAAAGACAAAAGCTACAAAATGCAGCGACCATCGCACAATAAGTCTTATTGCACATACAGCAAAGATAATAGCAAAGATACTTAAAAGAAGAATTGAAAGGAAAATAGAGGATGTACTTGGAGAAGATCAGTTTGGATTTAGAAGAGGAAAAGGAACCAGGGATGCAATTGGGATGATGAGAATTATAGCGGAACGAACTTTGGAGATAGATGAAGAACTGTGTGTTTGCTTCATAGACTGGCAGAAGGCATTTGACCGGGTAAACTGGACCAAATTAATGCAGATCCTGAAAGAAACAGGTATCGATTGGCATGAAAGAAGATTGATTAGCAAATTGTACATGGATCAGAAAGTTAGAGTACGACTGGACAGGGGGGAGACAGGAAGTGTGCAGATTGGAAGAGGAGTTCGACAAGGATGCTGTTTATCACCAATTCTGTTCAACTTGTACAGCGAATGCCTTACCAAGGAAGCTCTGGATGGGCTCGGTGACTTCAAAGTAGGAGGGCAAATTATTCAAACTGTGAAATATGCAGATGACCTTGTGTTAATGGCTAAGGAAGAAACTGTGCTACAGGGCATGATTGATAGACTAATTGAAATTGGAAGGTGCTATGGCATGGAAATGAATGTGGAGAAAACAAAAGTAATGAAAATTTCGAGACAACCAACCCCAGTCACAATAAAGATAGACCAAAAACAAGTGGAGAATGTGAAATGTTTTAAATATTTGGGTAGCTTGTTAACAGATGATGGAAGGTGTACTTGTGAAATTAAATCCAGGATTGCCATGGCAAAAGCTGCATTTAGCAAGAAGAAGAATCTTTTTACCAGCAAATTGGACTTAAATTTGAGGAAGAAACTAGTGAAATGCTACATTTGGAGCATAGCTCTGTATGGGGCTGAAACATGGACACTTAGGGCAGTAGATCAGAAACATCTGGAAAGTTTCGAAATGTGGTGTTGGAGAAGAATGGAGAAGATCAGTTGGACCGATTATGTGAGAAATGAAGAAGTGTTAATTAGAGTCAGTGAGCAGAGGAATATCCTACATGAAATAAGAAAACGGAAGGCTAATTGGATTGGTCATGTTTTACGCAGAAACTGCCTTCTAAAAGAAGCTATCGAAGGAAAGATAGATGGGCGGATAGAAGTGACAAGAAGACGAGGAAGAAGACGTAAGAAGATGCTGGATGACCTTGGGGACAGAAGAGGATACTGTCATTTGAAGGAGAAAGCTCTAGATCGCATTAAGTGGAGGAATTGTTTTGAAAGAGACTGTGGACCTGTCGTCTTGACAGATTACTGATGATGATGACAGTGCTTTCTGTTCAGTGACATTCAAATAGTCACACGCAAGAGAGTGCGTTGTTCTGGGCTGTAAGGCCGTGTAGTTCGGAGAAAGCCCGACGTTTCGGAGGAACATACCACTTCCATTTTCAGGGTCGAAGAGTAAGTAAAGTAAGAAGCCGATATTTTTTTATTGCTAGTGGGGTGAGACCAAGTCCCTTGTACTGCGGCTACTTCTGGCCTATTGTACCAGTCCCAGATGATAGGTGAGGGTGATTGTGGAGCAGTTGGTGGAATGAAGATTGACAGGGGAAACAGAAGTACTCGGAGAAATCCCTCCCCAGCGCCACTTTGTCCGTCACAAATCCCACTTGACCAGACCCGGGATGGAACCCGGGCCGCAGCTATGGGAAGCCAGCGACTAACAGCTTGAACTATGGCGCGGCCATGAAGCCGAAATTAGTAGTGTTACTTATACTTCCAACAATTAGGCATAGCGTACACGGTAAAATGTCCTCGTTGACTCGATTTCTGAAATATTCAACTCATAAATGAATGACTGAAGAGAGTAATGAAGAACACAGGGACTCCATGGAAGAGATCTTGTGCGAAGATGATGGTCTCTTAGCTGGTCCAAAAATAATTCGCCGTTCTTTGGAAGTTAAACTGCCGCTTTCGGAAGAGACTGTCACTGGAAGTAAACCCGGACCAGATGAATATTTCCGCGCTCCTTTGAGATACATTTTAATATTTTCCGACCATTTACTCCTAGACCTTGCTGTCGTACCTTCGTTTTTCCTGTTACAACGCCGTATGTGTTTCTCACCTCCCATACTTGCTACATATCTTGCCCATCCTATTCTTCGTTTTATCACCGTAATAACATTTGTCGCATTTCCCCCCCCCCCTCACCGCAGTCTGCTGCTGTATTCCAACATTGTCCTCAGCACTTTAGTCTCCAATTCGCTCAAACTCTCTCTCTACGTTGTGTTGAGAGTGACACGAGAGCATGTGTTCTCATGGCCGGCAGGCACTTGACTGTTTGGATTCTGACATGTATCCGCTGTATGTGAATGTCCGAAGAACAGGAGAACTGTAGATCCGGTGACTCACTTCCGGTCCTGTTGCATGTGTAACAAAACTCGCCCCAGTTAGAGCGGACATCAGCTTCATTTCTGTCAGAAGTGATATCACAAAACTGCATAGCGTCTAATACCATGAAGCTGAGCCCTTCCTGAGACTTCAAGACATCCTTAACCACTCAAGAGATTCCCGAGAGTTTACCGTGTTCACGAGATCAAATCACTGGTCCCCAAGAGCCACATTAATCCAATCCACACTACCATCCTCTTTCTTGAAGATAAAATGTAATATTATTCTCTCATCTACGTGTACGTGTTCCTATTGAACCTCTTTTTTCAACTGCCCTCCTGTTTCCTCTCATGCATGCTATATGCCCTGTCCATCTCATAATCTTTGGTGAGGGGTAAAAGTTACGAAGCTTCTCGTTATGCAGTTTTCTCCAGCTTCCTCTTACTTATCACTCTTAGATGCAAATACGAGTATTCTCCTCAGGAGCCCGTTCTCAAAAACGCTGAGCCAGGCGGCTGAAGTTCAGCTGTCACTTCACGAGGTGTTCAGGCAGGACGAGTGATGAGAGACAGTCCGCGATTTTATAGCGCGTCCTACAGCCCGACTGCCCTGAGTGGGCCTTTTCGTGTTTCCCTTCCGCTGGCACAGCGCTTCGGAGTAAGTCAGGATGTACACATTCTGTCAGAGCTACTGGAAACTTCGTCGGAGGTTGTGCCTTACGTCGCTTCGGTCTGTCTTACTGTTGATCAGTGCAATGCTGCGGTCTGTGTTTCGTCACAGGTGTCAGGGCTCTCAGTTCTCTTCCGGTACAGTAATCGCAATGTCTGCTGGCTGGAATACAGCCGGACGTTTTTCGTAGACAAAATATCGCTTCTATCTTCAGTGTCGAAGAAAATAGCAGCAATCAACTGATGCAGGTAATCTTTCAACCTGGCGAAACGTCCTCCACTCTCCGAGCTATACGTCGTTTCAACCCAGAAATTTGCACTTTGTACCAACAGACACATACACAGAAAGTTCCAATTAAATCGCTACTTGCTGATACAGCTTTGGTTGGGCCGAGGCGAGTTTGAAAGTAAATGGAGTTCCTTTTTAACTCTGTGCAAGTTACATGAACGCTGTGTTCCTTTCACGAGCCACGGACAGAACTGTCGGGCGGTTCTTTTGTAGATATGACCGCTCTCAGGCTTTAT